AGTGTCTCGGCATAGGCCCCAGGCTCCAGAAAGTCAGCCCATGCACCAAGGACAGGTCCCGGCTCCACTAAGTGCTGTCCTCTTAACGACGACTCTTCAATCCTTTCCCCATCACCTCGTGCAACTTCATGTGGCAAGATCATGGGGAATTTACTTCCAAATCTGTACCCTTTACCCCATTCTAGGGACTGAACCCAGGCCATGCACTCGTCTGTGCTTGGTAAGCTATAGCACAGGTCTGCCCTGACCCCATATACTTTTTGTTTTGAGATGAGGTCTCACAAAATTGTCCAGGTTGACTTACCATTCACTCTGGATTCCAGGTGGTCTTTAAACTTCCCATTCTCCGATGTGTATAACAGAAATCTCCCATCTTATTTTTTTTTTTTTTTGTTTTTCGAGACAGGGTTTCTCTGTGTAGTTTTCGTGCCTGTCCTGGATCTCGCTCTGTAGACCAGGCTGGCCTCGAACTCACAGAGATCCGCCTGCCTCTGCCTCCCAAGTCCTGGGATTAAAGGCGTGTGCCACCACCGCCTGGCCATCTTAATTATTTTTAGCAGTTATGCTGTCAGTGACTTTTAACAGCCCTTCTGAGCTAGGCTAATCCGGTTTAAACACATTTCAGGGTTTCTTGTTGTGGTGCTGGGTTGAAGCCAGGGTCTTTGCGTGCTGAGGCGACACTTGCCACTGGGCTGCACTCCCATGCCCTCCTGGTCCGACAGCGTTTATCACCATAGCAGTGTCTGTCACTCAAGTCAGTTAGCCTCGTTCGCGATGCACATGAATGTGAGATGACCTTTCCCCTCTAGGCCTTGCAGGAGGGACAAGTGTGGCCTTTTCAGAGGTTGTGAAATCAGCCCCACATCCCAGCCTGGCTGCCACCCCCAGCCCAGGAGCTTCCCAGGTGAGAAGACATCCGGTTTTCTCTTAGCATTTGCTTTCTCAGTCTGGCTTCGGTCTTTTTTCTTTTCTTTAAAAGGTGAGTTTTCTTTCTCGTCTACATTAAGCCTGCTATACCCAACTAGAGGGAAATCTTACCCCCCTCCCCCACTCCAGAGTACTTGGGGATTGGTCCTGGGGATTTACCCATGGGAAGCATGCCCTTGACTATGGAATTACATCCTTGGCTTACAAAGACACCAAGGGTGCTGGGACCTGAACCTGGGTCCTCTGCAAGGATAATACATACTCTTAATTACTGCGCCATCTCTCCAACTCATTTTTCAAAAGTAAAAATGGAAACAAAGCTGGGCGGTGGTGGCACACGCCTTTAATCCCAGGACTTGGGAGGCAGAGCCAGGTGGATCTCTGTGAGTTCGAGGCCATCCTGGTCTGCAGAGTGATTTCCAGGAAAGGCTCCAAAGCTACACAGAGAAACCCTGTCTCAAAAAAACAAACAAACAAACAAAAAAGAAAAAACAAAAAACAAAAAAAGGAAACAAAATTAATTTTAATAATATATTTCACTTAATCTAATGTGTCCAAATTATCATCATTTTAGTACATAACTGCTCAGAGAAATTACTAATGTCATAATGCACATTAGTTTTGCACGAGGTTTTGGAAATTTGAAGTAAGTTTTATAAATATATGTATTTATTTTATGTGTATGAGTGTTTTGTCTACTGTATGTTTATGCATCGTGTGTGTGTGTGTGTGTGTGTGTGTGTGTGTGTGTGTTCCTGAGAAGGCTGGAAGAGGGTGTCAGATCCCCTGGAACTAGAGTTACAGACCATAGTGAGTCACTATGTGGGTGCTGGGACTCAAACCTGGGTCCTCTGGAAGGGCAGCCAGTGCTCTAAACCACTGGGGTGTCCTCCAGCCTCAGAATTTGCTTTTTTTCTTTTCTTTTCTTTTTTTTTTTTGAGACAAGGTTTCTCTGTGTAACAGTCCTGGCTGTCTTGGATCTCACTCTGTAGACCAGGCTGGCCTTGAACTCACAAAGATCCACTTGCCTCTGCCTCCCAAGTGCTGGGATTAAAGGCATGTACCTCTACCACCGAGCAGAATTTACATTTTTAAATTGCAAGCTCTAAGCTGGTATAAGAGGCACTTCCCCATTCTAAACTTCTCTTTCTGCCCCTCCAGGTCTATGAGGCCCTCCTCCCTCGGTATGCTGAACTTGAACAGAGACTCTTGTCTCGGGCCCGGGGGCCTCTGGAATGAACTCCGTGTGCCCTGGCAGCCTGCCGCCTCCCTCCACCCCGACTCCCAGGTGGCACTGTCCCCTTGCTTGTTCTGAGCAGCTTCTGGGCTGTGTTGACTCAGTGGAGCGCTCCTGTCCTGTCCTGGACCATCCTGAAGCTGGCCATGACTCCCTGGAGACATGTGGGCCGCCTCTGCCCCAGGGTGGGAACCAGCTCTCCTTTTCTGGCTTTCATTCCAGGAGGCAGGAAAATACAGTGTATAGGGAAGGTGTGGCCACCAAAGACGATCACCTTCCCCATTCCAAAGGCAGAAAGCAAGCTCTCTTTTAGGACCGAACTCAGCAGAATGGGGGACAGCCTTCTTCCTGACTTACCCTCCTCCGTGGTCCTCACCTTTCGACACCCCACCCCACACTGGGGCCTCCATCCTTCCCTGCAAACCAGACTTGACAGTGCCCCCTCATCACCTTCCTACCTGTTTCTACCCCGTTTCTTTAAGTGCCTTCCCAGGGTCCTCTCCTGTCTGTCCATCTCCTCCCTTTCCTACCCGTACCTTCCTGGTTAACTTCCCACACAAGATGACCTTCATGGGCTTGGTGAATACTCTTCCTGTGCCCTCCCCCAGCTCGGTCTATACCAGACTGGGGCTGACCAGGTCACCTGGCTGGGCCATTGCCCAGGCTAGCCACTTTAGGGTTCACCCCTGTTTCATTGTAGTTCACATGATGGCAATGTTGTGTTTCTCTTCGAGACATTTCTAAATGCTGGATTTTTAAAAAAAATTTTTTGAGACAAGGTTTCCTGTAGCCCAAGCTGCCCTCAAACTTTCTTTGCAGCTGAAGGTGACCTTAAACTCCTGATCTTCCTGATCTGCCAAGTGCTGGGATTAAAGGCATGTGCCACCACACCTGGTTTATGTAGTACAGGGAATCCCATGGCCCCATGCATGCTGGGCAAACACTGCCAGCTGAGCCAACTCCCAGCCTGGATTTCCTTTTGACTTGGCACACTTTCTGACTCTCACTTCCACTCATCCTATTATATTTGTGCAGATGCTGAGTCCTCCCCTCCTTCCTCTTCACTTTTTTTTTTTTTTACCTTAGACTTCTCTGTTCCTTGCTCAGATAAGCCCCCTGTGACCTCGCTCCTGTGACACCCCCCAGAGTTTTCCTTTGCCACAAGGCCGCACCAAACTCAGGACTTGTTTCAAACTGGATCTGGTGCAGTGGCAAGATGTTGCAGACAGGTGTGTGAGATCACATGGATCAGAGCAGTGACTGCTGGGAAGTCCAAAGGACAGAGCATAGACTAGAAGAGCACCTTCCACCCGGAAGGGAAGGGCTCCGTGTGTGTCGGGGAAAGGAGCTGCAGGCAGCCACCATCACCACAGCAAACCGGAGCTGCGGAGGAGACGCCGCGGGGCCTCTGCTCGTCAGAGCTGACAAACACCGAGCCACAGCAGAAGCAGCGCCAGGACCACAAAACCGTGAACTAAGAAGACGTCCTAACATAGCTCTTGCTTACAATAGATCAGACGGATGCCATGGGTGACAAATGAAAACGCAAATCCAAATGGAAGCACACCAGGCTTATGGGGGGACAGTGGCTGAGCAGAACAGCACCGTGACTGTACAGAGACCGGCTTACAGTGTCAGAGGGGCAGACATGGCAGGAGGTCAAGGAGGCAGAAGGAAAGACGGAGAAGAAAAGACAACACAGGAACGGTAGAGCGCTCGGCGACGGAAGACAAGATCCCTGTTGATAACTGGAACTACCCAAAATAAAAACAAATTCTTGAATACACCCCAAACCAACCTCTCTCCCTCCTTCTCCCCCACCCCTTTCCAGCGTGCGGGGCTCGCATCTGTACCCTGGCCGAGCCTCCCTGGCCGAGCTGCACTGGCAGCCCCAGTGTCCTGAAAGATCTACCTTGTAGTTTAGATGTGTTTGGAGATCTTTATGTCACCGACCCAGCATCACAAAGGCTTGCTTAGACCATAAAACAATAAACTGGGGGGGGGGGGACAGCTACAGAGGGACGGTTTAGAGGTTGAGTGCACTGGCTGTTCTTCCAGAGGACCTGGGTTTGATTCCTAGCACCCACATGGCTGCTCACAACTGTCTGTAACTCCAGCCTCAAGGGATCTGCTGGCCTCTTCTGGCCTCTTCAGTCCTCCATGTGATGCACAGACAATAAAAGCAGGAAAAACAGCCACACATGTGAAATAAAAATAAAGGTTAAAAAACACCTAAACACAATATTCCAGCATCCATTGTGTAATATAACACAACGTTTTATGTATTGAAGGGAAAATGAAATTGTCAAGACCAAAGGAGACACTTTCCAAAGAAAGATCAGGTCGGGGCAGACTCCTCGGCAAAGACGGTAGCAGTGGAACAAAACTCTTTTCCATGGTGTGTCTCAGGCAAGTGTGCAGCAGTGTCCGTCTAACCGCATGGTTAAGTTTAGCCAACACGTTCTTGAGTGGACTCGGAGGGGCTCGTGACAGCCCTGGGCAGGCGAGGGACAGGAGCGGCTCGTGACGGCCCTGGGCAGGCGAGGGACAGGAGCGGCTCGTGACGGCCCTGGGCAGGCCAGGGACAGGAGGGGCTCGTGACGGACAGGAGCCTTTCAAAGCTTCACTGCTTTTATCAGCACTCCTGACTTTATAAAGGGCGAAGGTCATTCTTCCCCTTCTTACTCAGATTTCCTAGTAAACCTGGCTATAGTAGGGTTTCATGGTGACCCAGGCACTAAGGCTTTGTAATATTTTGGCAGGACCAAGGCTACAGGCCATACCAGACCAGGAAAAGTCACTGAGTACTCCTGCACCCTGGAACAACATTTTCAAAGAACTAAGAAAACTATAAGGACCAGCGAGATGGCACAGCGGGTAAAGGGGCTTGCTGCCCAGCCTGGGGACCTGAGTTCAAGCCCCGGGACCCACACGGTGGAAGGAGAGAACCAACTCCAGCAAGTGGTCCTTTGACCTCCCTACACGTGCTGTGGCAATGTGCGTGCCTTCCCCCACCCCACCCCACGTAGGCAAGTGAAAACAGAAGGATGCTCAGGTCGTACCTGGCTAAGGTATCCAAGTGGCATGGGTACAGAAAAAGGTTTTGGTCACCCAGAGCTGAGGTTTACTTGCAGCCTCTTAGCATTCTTCTAGAAAGCAGCTGTCACCCTGCCAGGAGATGGCGGGAGAACCCGGGCAGGCCACACGAGTGCCGGTGTGGAGGAGTGAGAATGTCACTGCTCAGACAAGGTTACAAGGAAAAGAGAGACATCCTCACTCCTTTCTGCTGCGTGAAAAACACCATGACCAAAGGCGACTTGGCGGGTAGAGGGTTAATTTCGTCTTCCCATTCCAGGTCACAGAGATGCCTGAGAGAAGTCAGGGCCGGAACTGTTGTAGAAACCATGGAGGAATGCCGCTTTCCTGGCTCCAGCACAGGCTCACACTCAGCTATGTTTCTTAAACAGCCCAGGCACACAGGCCTAGGGATGATGCCACCCACAGTAGGCCAGTCCCTCCCACATCAACCATCAATCAAGACAGTCTCTCACAAACATGGCCACAGGCCAGTCTGATCTGGGCAATCCTTCAATTGAGAGTCCCTCAGCTGACTCTGGACTGTGTCAGACTGACAGCTGAAGCCAACCAGGACACGAGAGGAGAAAAGAGTACAAAGAACTCACTGTGACATGTGCAATTTTGAGGAGTCAAAAATACTTAAAATTAGCTGGGTGCTGCTGGCATGCGTGCGCACCTTTAATCCCAGCATTTGGACAGAAGAGGCAGGTGGATTCCTGTGAGTTCAAGGCCAACCTGGTCTACAGAGTGAGCTCCAGAACAAACAGAGCTACACAGAGAAACCCTGTCTCGAAAAACCAAAACCAAGAAAAAAAAATTACAGACCAAATACTTGAGTCTTAAGTAATGAAGTAGGCTAACTGACATTAAAACTACTTTGTAATATTAAAAGCATCGGTATTAAAAAACCATACAACCAGTATAATAAAAAGCTTTTTAAAAGCAGTTAAAATGCAAATCTTGGCACCAGGGAGATGGGTCAGTGGGTAAGGGTGTTTGCTACCAGGCATATGATAGAAGGAGAGAATTGACTCCCACACGTTGTCCTCTGCTCTCCACACCGGTGCCCTGGCACATGAACACCCTCATATATACACAGTGAAGAAATGAATGAATAAATAAATACACGTAGAAGTGCAAATCTCCCTCAATGTTCAAAGCAAAGGCAACACATCACCTAACAAGCAACGCGTGGGAACTGCAGCTTCATGCACACAGTCAACAGGTTCTAGCAGGAGTCCAGTCCGGAAAGCTGAGAGCCCTTAGTCCACCGACTAAGAAGCTCCAAACAGCTTACAAACCAGCATGTCCCCGTCACATTCAGAAGAGGCACATATGAAATTAGTGGTTTGGAAAGACTGGGAATTGGAGTAGGCAGCAACAGTCCAAACACAAAACCACAGGAAGCAGATCGCAGAATCCATTCCAAGAGGGCGAGTTCTTGGAAAAACCGTAAAGGACATGGTAGTGCCAGAGGCAGACTCCAGGGCAGGAACGCTGATCACCAGTGCGGCAGGCTCAGCTGTTTGGACTGTCAGCTTGAAATAACGTTCTGGAATCCTCTGCCTGCTCCAGAGTCCTGTGTCTTCCTTTCCCATTAGCTGTGACATTTGTGCAACACCAGCAGGGAGGACAGACAGCTGGAAATAACAGGTTTAACACGCCACTCTCTTATTCAAGGCTGAGGAAGATGAAACTACATGGAGGCTGTTTCTACAAACTAGACCTAAATAAGTATTGAATATTCCACTTTGCACGTGTGTATGGATGTGTGTGTATGTGTATGGGGGTGGGTGGGTATGTGTGTGTATGGGTGCATGTGTGTAAATGTTTAAAGTCCTCATTATGAAAATATCAATAAATATTTCATTGATTTACACTTAACACTGTTATACAAATGAAGCTTTTAAAACCAGAAAGAAAAAAAAAGAAGGAAATATTGCTGGGCAGAGAGAGGAACATAAGGCGGGAGGAGACAGGAGCTCGGCCCTTTTAGTCTGAGGATTCTTGGAGGTAAGAAGTGTCTCTAGTGGCTGTGGCCTGCTCTGCTTCTCTAGACTTTTAGCTTTCACCCTGATATCTGACTCCAGGTTTTTATTAAGATGAATTAGGATTTGTATTACACATGTGTGTGTATTGTGTGTGTGTGTGTGTGTGTGTGTGTGTGTGTGTATGGGAACATGTATGTGTGTATATGGTGCATGTATGTATGTGGATGAGGGCATGTGTGTATGGATGTGGGTGTGTGTGTTTATGTTTATGGATGAGTGCAAGTGTATGGGTGCATGGGTATGTGCATGGGTGCATGTATATGTGTATGGATGGGTGTGTGTGCTTGTGTGGATGAGTGCATATGTGCATGGATTTGTGTGTGTGTGTGTGTGTGTGTGTGTGTGTGTGTGTGTGTGTGTGTGTGTGTGTGTATGTGGAGATCAGGACTAGCTTGGATAACATTTCTCAGATGTCTTCTACTTTTTATTTGAGACAGGAACTGGCCATTAAGCTTCCAAGGATCCACTGGTCTCCACCTCTCATGCCACCATCACTGAGATTACAAGCACATGCCACAGCGCCTGGCTTTTAATATGAATTCTGAGAATCAAACTCAGGTCTTTATTCTTGTGAGTCAAGCATGTTACCAGCTAAGTTACCCCCCAGCACAGATGTCCCGTATCGAAATAGGAATATGTCTATTCTCATGCATAAAATTTACCATTTAGAGTGGGAAAGATGGCTGAACAGGTAAAGGTGGAAGCTTGGCAGCCTGAGTGTGACCTCCAGTCCATGTCACAGAAGGAGAACCAACTCCGAAGAATTGTCTTCTGACTGTCATAGGTGCGTGATTGCATGGGTGTGTGTACACACAGAGACAGAGACAAATAAATGTTTTAAAATCACCATTTATTATACCATAAAGAAAACTTAAAATGGCCTGGCTAGAATGAAACTTTTTTTAAAAGCCCAATTTGGAGAAAAAATTTCTATTAAACTCCTAGGACAAGATAGATTAAAAATAAAAATCAAGTTGCAGGTATGGTGGTACATGCTTTCAATCCCAGCACTTGGGAGGCAGAGGTAGGTAGATCTCCATGAGTTCCAGGCCAACCTGGTCTACAGAGTGAGTTCCTGGACAGCCAGGGCTACGTAGTGAGACCCTGTCTCAAACAAAACAAAACAGAACAAAACAAAAAAACAAAAGAATTGGAGAGATGGCTTGGTTGTTGCGGGATATTTGATTGCACTGTGAAACTTAAAGACTGTGTTAATAAATTTAACCTTGGATCAGGGGGTGGAGGTAGCAACTAGTTGACAGGAATTAGCCATAAAGAGGATGGAGGAGCCAGGAACATGGATAGAGAGACAGACACACAGGAAGCAGTAGGGAGGCATTTAGAGATTTGAAGTCATTTTTGGTTTGGGACAAGTGGAAAAATGCTTCTCTTATTTGGTCTCTGATCAAAAAGGAAGGTCAGCTGGTTGTTCCTTGACTTCTCTGATGTAGCATGTTTTCACCCCAACATCTGACTCCCAAGTCTCTGTTGGTAAATAGAATCATAAAAACCTAGTTAAAACCTACATTTGGTGGTGGCAGCTGAGCCAGTGCCAATGGGACTGGAAATCCCACTAGGCCGAGGTCTGAGCACCTGGGAGCTGACTGCAGGGCCGTGGGGTGCAAAAGGTTGTTGAAATATCAGTAGATTCAGGTGTGGCTGAT